ATATTTGTGGAACAGCTTACTCCTGTTTTCAGATCTTCTATTTACAATCTTGAATACTTTACTATTTTCAATACCTTTTAAATATTTTTTTCAGAAATTTTAAAAAGATTTTGGAGCCATTTCCGTCGCATTTGTTGACATTTAAAAAAAAAAAAGTTATGTGATGTTTTGGGGGCAGTTTATTCTGTATGTTTAATACAACTTAATCCATTAGTCTTTAATATTTGTGGAAGACGTTATTGTTTTTTGGACATTTCATGGATATGTTTCAGCATATCGTTCATCAGCAGGTTGCTGTTGGAGCTACTTTACTTTACAGGTTAATCTTCAGGAACAGCAGAAGAATCCGAGGCTCCAAACATGATTAATGGACGAGGAAAGAAGAAAAAACTAAGTTCTGTTTTCAGGTTTTCTCTGATCTTTGACTTTTCATGAAGATATTAGATCACTGGAACATTTATTAAAATACGACCCATTTAGAGAGAAGAACCGCTGTTTGGTGGCTGCTAGCTCAGACATCTGAACTGTGAAGCCACTAATGTTCAACCTGTAGCTGTGTGATGAGCTTAAAAGCTTGTTAAAGTATCCAGCGCGTCAAAAAGCCGTCAGATAAACGTCGTGCCGGGAAAACAGTCAAAGTACAAGTACCTCAGAGTCTCGTGTACTTTTCTGCTTTTCACTGCTGGATTAGAAAAACTGCCATTTTGATGTTAGAACTTGAATGAAAAGTTTGATTCTGAAGCCAAATAATAAAAAAGGCTTCAGACAAAGTGAGCCGTAACCTCGTCCGACATGTGACCGTTTAATGAACCGACGTATGAATCTGACAGCTGGAGGGCAGTAATGTGCGCACGGAGCAGTTTCTCACCTCTGATCATCCCTCAGAGCAGAAAGTCCGACTCTGGAGGCCTCGTATTCCTTCAGCAGCATCCCGTCCCCCTGACAAAGACAAGGTTCAGGTCAGGCCTGTGCTGCCCCCTGCTGGCCGTCACCGCGCTGTGCAACACATTAACACTGACAGAAACGGTCGTAAACGTCCAGACTGACCTCCGTCACGCCGCTGGGCGGGTTGGAAACACACAGCGGTGGGCCTTCAGCCTCCTCTGGGACGGACTCTAAAACAAATCCAGGGTCAGTCTCAGTCTCCACATCAGCAGCTGTGTGGTTCTATCGAAGCCTACCGTCGGCTGTGAGGTTCTGTCCGGCCTCAGGAAGCTCCAGATGCTCCTCGGCATCGAACCACAGCTCGCCTCTGCTCGAATCGTCGCTGACAGCTGCTGTCCACAAACACAACGTCTGGGATTTAATCAGTAATTTGCTTTGTTACGGCACTTCTGGAGCTTTTTGTTTTGTGTGTGAGTCTGTGACAATTTTTGACTTTTTTTCAAAACTTTTCTTGTCTTAACTTTGGGTTGATATTAAATGATGTCGTCTCACTGATACTCTGTGGTTTTAAATCGACGTATTTTTAATGTTGTTTCGTGAACGGACCCCCGGGAGACCAGCAGCCACCTTGTGGGAGCAGAATAAAGAATCAGCTGCTTCTCTGGTAACCATCGGGAGTCGGGATGGTGTTTTAACGGCAACACCAGTCCTACTGATGCTGCTCATCGGTCCCGTAAGAGAAAATCTCAACAAGTTAAGAACAGAATGAGTTTTATTTTCTCATATGTAGTCTAAATAAATTAAAAGTCTTGAGTAGCAGAATGGGGCTGCAAGGTGGTGCAGTTGGTAGCACTGTTGCCTCGCAGCAAGAAGGTTGCCGGTTCGCGTCCCGGTGGGGGCACCGGAATCTTTCTGCATGTTCTCCACGTGCAGCGTGGGTTCTCTCCGGGTTCTCCGGCTTCCTCCCACACAGTCCAAAAACATGTTGAGGTTAATTGGTGATTGTAAATTGTCCGTAGGTGTGAATGTGAGTGTGCTTGGTTGTCTGTCTCTAAGTGTAGCCCTGTGATAGACTGGTTACCTGTCCAGGTGAACCTGCCTTCACCCTGAGTCAGCTGGGATAGGCTCCAGCCCCCCATGACCCTAGTGAGGGTTAAGCGGTGTACAGAAAATGGATGGATGGAGTAGCTATGTGTGGATGGGCGGGTGGGGGGTTAGAAGTTTCTGATGGTGTCTGTGCTGTTTCTGTTGGTGTTTTTGGTCCTTTGTCCATTTTACTGAAACCAGGGACAGGAGTAGAAAATTAGCTTAATGCTATACAGTCTATATGCAATACATCAGATGTTCTCTGTGTAAAAATGCACGGTCTCTGACCTAACTAATTAAAAAACTAATAAACTAACTAATGCTGCGGTGATGAGTCAAAGAACTTCTGACATTTAAAAACATCTGTGTGCGATTTTCTTCACATTTACTGATATTTTTGGAGATATAATTCATATTTTGGGGTAAATCTGGGACATTTTTACAAATATTTTTCTGTCTTTTTCAAATATTTTTCAGTTTATTGATATTTTGGACCCTTCTGTTGTGGTGACGTTAGTGTCGCAGGTTTTACTCACTCAGTAAAATGCTTCCTTATACGATATCTGAATTAAAAGCTCCACCTTGAGCAATGTTCAGTAAGCGTGCTGATAGAGAAGCGCTAACATGGCAGCTTATCGACTCTGTGGGGTTTATAAATGTCCTACAAGGATCCTTCTCACCCGTCTGCTTTCCTTCCTGCTTGTCGTCGTGGAGGTCACTTCTGTCCCGCAGCATCAGAGCTGCAGCTCTTCCTGCTTTGCCGCTTTTCTTCTTGACCTGCTTTTCTTTCCTCTGAACAAGCTGAGAGTAAAGTTTGAGCAGCGTCCCGACCATCAGTATCGATTAATCACATGACATATAATCTGCTCGCTTACATGAAGAGGAACAGATGAACATCAACGGATGTAAAGCACGAAAATAATTCTGTTTTTCATTGACCTCGTCTCCTTCGCCTTCTTCCCTGTCGGTTAAAGTGTTTGAACTAACGAACGAGTCAGCAGTTCTGTGGTGTTCAGCGTACCTGGCTGCTGTTTCTGTTTTCACCATTACGACTTGTGCTGCGTCCTGCTGCTGTGGGAAGCTGCTCAGGTTCCTCAGACGTCCTGAGATCAGAGACAAACGTTACAGCAGCTGGAGGTCAGAGGCCTCGTCTCATAACAAACCTGAGTGTTTTAGTGTTGACATACCAGGAAGACGCCGTTCCCAACACATCACCAACGACCTAAACAGGGACCAGACACAGTCAGATGACTTAGAACAGTGGTTAAAATAAAGCAATCCATGTCTGACCAGGGCTGCACCTACTTTACCCACCAGTCAACCAGTTTAAAGGGTTACTGTCCTCCAACAATGCAACATGACATTCCCTTTGGATTCGTTTTATGTTGACAGACTGCACGTCATCGTGATGAAGCAGCCACACAGAGGTTCACATGTTACAGGGAAAGTGGAAACTCCAGCAGCAGCAGCTCCGAAAGACATCAGAGTCTCTGTTAAACCTGCTCAGGAGACATTTTACAGCTCAGAGCAGCTAAAGACACTCGTTTTCTATTTACTTGTAGCTTTAAACTTTATGAAAACAGCTGAACTCAGAGCACAACGTCGTCTTTAACTCGTGTTTTATGAGCAACGTGTTGCTGTTTCATCCTGGTTCTGCTGTCTGACAAAACAAACAGACATGTGGAGGTGAGAGCAGCTTGTTGTGACTTCAGCTGATATTAAAATGATGTGAGCACAGAGAGCAGGAGAGAAGCTCCAGGTGGAAGCAGCAGCCCAGTGGTTTATCTCCAGGTGTTGCTCTTTGTGTGTTTGAAATGATCCTATTGGTTGGAAGTCTTGGCTCTTTTAAAAGTGAAAAGACACCCTCATCTCAAACTGTAGCTGAGCAGTGATACAGAAGATAGATCCAAACCCACACTGCAGGAGCCAATGAGGCCTCAGTGTTGTCAGTAGGAACCAGCCAGGTGTTCTACTAAAGGAAAGACGTTCTCTGACTGCTGATGCTGCAGGTTCTGCTCCTGTTGTTCCATCAATCCATCATCTCTACACCTTAATCCTCACCAGGGTCATGGGGGGCTGGAGTCTATCCCAGCTGGTTCACCTGGACAGGTAACCAGTCTATCACAGGGCTACACTTAGAGACAGACAACCAAGCACACTCACATTCACACCTACGGACAATTTACAATCACCAATTAACCTCAGCATGTTTCTGGACTGTGTGGGAGGAAGCCGGAGAACCCGGAGAGAACCCACGCTGCACGGGGAGAACATGGAGACTCCACGCAGAAAGATCCCAGGTGTCCTCACCGGGACGTGAACCAGCGACCTTCTAGCTGTGAGGTAACGATGCTAACCACCGAGCTGGTTCTGGTTCGAGCCAAATGATCAATATCAAGGGAAAATAAACCGATCATCCCAGAGTTTAACTCACGGAGCAGCAGAGTCTCGACACAAACTTTGAGCGTCCACAGCTGTAAACTGACTAACTGCTGCAGCGTCTGGTCGGCAGGTGTGCTCACCTGTGCAGGGCTGTAACTGGCTCCGGGGATGATCTTGTCAGAGTCCACAGGCAGAGGCTTCAGCTGCTCCAGAGGAACTCCAGCCAGGATCTCGCACCTCATGGCCTTATAGTCAGAGTCCAGCTTCTCCAGAACACCTGAGATGTTTGCAGGAGGACCTTTGTCCCTGCAGGAGACGACAGTCAGACGTTACAGACGGCTCAGAGTGAGTCGGATGCTGACGGAGATCAAATGTGGTGATTACGCTGAGCTGAGCTGGTTTTCCTCAGCAGAAGGGCAGTAGAGTCTCCAGCAGTGCAGCTTGCACATGTTGTACTGCAGCTCCAAGAGGCTCAGCGCGGCCTTCTGAGCACGCTCAGTACAGTCACACGGTTTCCTGGAGGAAATGACACCTATCAGCCGTTTAGCTGCAGCAGTGGGAACAGATATGAGCCAGTTAACTATCCGTTGCATTACCTTTTCATTCTCTCTTTTTGCTCTTTCAGCCCTTGAGACGTCTTGAGTTTGATGAACTCCTGAAACATTAAAGTGGTTCTTTAAAGGTTTTCCTGCAGCCTCCAGCAGTGATAGCTGTCGGGTTTCCAGTCTTACCTCAGCCAGATAGTCCAGATCCGCCATGTGGACTTCAGTGATGACGTTCTTGTCGGCTGTTTCTGGGCCGTTGGTTTGAGTGAAGGTTGACGAGCTCGGCAGCAGCTCAGCGTCACAGGAGGGAGGGCAGCTGAACTCCTCCGAGGCGTCGCCACCGACGGGAGGCTGGTCGGACTTCAGAGCGTCGCTGTTGGCTGCACAGAGGAGGATGCTCAGGTCGTCCTCCATGATGCTGTGGACGGCGTGGGCCTGATCTTCACCACCGGGGAGCTCTTCCCCCTGCAGCAGGAACCCCTGACGTCCGTCCTTTCTGGTGTTCTCCTCTGAACAGCTGCTGGTCTGCTGCAGCTGCTCTGACCGGACCACGTTCACGTCGCTGTGTTCTGAAGCGTCCGTCCTGATTCTGTCACTGCTGAAGTCAGAAGGTTCCTTATGGGCTGTTGGCCAGTCTGAGCTGCAACAGGAAACACTGAGTTCACTGAGTCTGCTCCAGAATGTTTTCATTTTATAACCAGATTTATCGCCAGTGTGTTGATTGTGTCGTCGCTCTTTATTCAAAAGGCTAAAAGAACAGAAGCTGAGTTGATTAACTTTGCAGAGATAAACAAGATATTGTTTCCTTAATTTCTCCAGTACAGCTGCTGATGTGACTAGAAAAGGTTCCTAATTTTGAAACCTATCAGGATCTGTCTGGTTCTCAGGCATACGGGTCTCTGCAGAAGATAACTGGACTTGGTTTTGGTTCAGGGGGACGTTTCACCTTCTTCCTCAGCTCTAACTTGAAGTCAAGCTTCTTGGATGAAGGTGAAACGTGTGAAAGAACCAAAGTGACGTCCAGAAGCAGCAGAAAGAAACGTCACATGTGCAGGTGAACAGGTCAGATAAGTAGCTGAACTCCTACATGCTGAGTCAGAGGCTGCTTCCAGTTTACAAACTGATTAATTAATGTGGTATTTTTCAAAACAGTATATTTATAAAGACGTGAGATGTGCACGGTTTAGACCACGTTTATCATTCAGTCTAGAGTTTCTAATGACTCCCAGAACTTGTAATCTTCTCTGACTCTTCTCATAAAAGCAATTCAGTATTTTGGTTGTTTCATAGACTTATTAAAAGACTTGGGGAAATAATTTGTATAATATAACATAATTTGTATTAAACACCTTTACCAGTGGAGGTAATCCTGTGTTCGGCTGGAACGTGTACTCACTGTGATGGACCGACTTCAGCACCGGGACCGCTGTGGTTCTGCGTCACTGAAATGTGGCTTCTGATGGCTGACCTGTGTCTGCATCGGTCCATCTCCAGGTCCAGAGTGAATCCAGCCAGCACCGAAGGATCTCTGCACACAGCTGCACTGCTGCTCAGCTGGAACACAAACCCTGCATTTATCCTTCAGACACAAAACCCAACCCATTTCCACGCCAGACTCCAGAGAACAGAACTTCTCACTCTGTGGACCGTCTGCAGACTCTCTGTGACGGGGCTGCTGGAGGTCAGATGGAAGCTCTCCTGAAGGTGAACCGGCTGGTCGTTGCGGCAGAACTCGTCACAGAGATGTCCTTCATTCAGCAGAGTTAGATCACTGGGAAACATCTCCAGCTCCAGATGTGTGCGAGGCGTGTCTGACAACAAGCAAAGTTCAGTTCAGTCTCCTTTGCTCAGAGCGGTCCAAGTCACTCAGTGCTGCTAGTGGGTTATTTTAACCCTCAGAGGGCCGCCGTCACGCTGGCGTGATACAATCATATGACATTTTCAAGACGTCACGGCAGAAAAAACTGTGTTTTATGTCGATAGACCACGTAAAACCTGAGATATGATGTTATGAACATGCGTGAAAAAAACACACGTAAAATGAATTATCTGCGATGGACTGGCGACCTGTCCAAGGTGTCTCCTGCCTTCGCCCTAAGTCGGCTGGGATAGGCTCCAGCCCCCCCGCGACCCTAATGAGGATTAAGCGGCGTATAGATAATGGATGGGTGGAAAATGAAATAGGGGCACTGCATTTCTATCAACATTTGTTTCATTTTTTGTTGTTTTACAAAATGAAAGTGAAAGAAAGTCCCTGAAGTGCAGCTCCTGATGTGGCCTCATTCTGGACACAAACAGTTTTCCGGAGTGGCATCGATAAAAACAGACAGAAAGCCTCACCTGCCCCTATGTAGCTGTATATGTTTGTATTTAGTTTGACTTTACATCAAATCTATCTTTTCATGTTTATATCTGAAACCTGTGGTCACATTTCCAACCTTCAAAATTAAGCAGGTTTTTATTGCAATAACGTATTTTTTAAAATTGGATTTTGTATTTTTTTGTGTGTTTTTGAGCCCAAAATGTTCATATAGTTGGTTAAAGTGAAACAATAACAGTCAGATCATATCGGTGACGCTGTGCTGAATAAAAAGACACCAAACGTGGGCGCGGTGAACACGTTTCTATCTGGTGTACAAAGACAAAACTCAAAGTCTGCAAAAACGGCCACAACAGGCCTCTCAGGCCTAAAGACAGTGGATGAAGCTCCCGTTATTTGTGGAATACTGAAGCTGCTCACCATCAAAACCACCACGAATGACGTCACACTGATCTGAACAACGATTTTAGAATCCAACAAGTTTTATGAGATAGTTACCACTCCTGCACATCGTCGCTCCCGCCCTCACAGACCTGAGAACAAAACAAAAGTCTCACCAACAAATCACTCAAATAACACAACTTTAAACTCATCTGGCGTAAACTCAGTCGTACTGGGTGGAGGTCGCGGTCGGCTGAGCAGGTCTGCTGCTTCCATCGCTGTCTGAAAACACAAAACGGTCCCTGTTCAGTCTGTGCACAGCTGCTGAAGCGTTAAAGGTGTGAACCGGACTTACACTTGATGTAGACGTGATGCTTGGACAGCTCTAAGGCAGGATGTCTCTGCAGGAACTGCTGGAAACCTCCTCCGTCTACAAAAGAGATCAAACACGTCAGAAAATAAAACGTGCTCCCATTGTATCACTGTATATGATAATGGGCCACAAAGAAGAAGTTAACCAGGGTCTCAGTCTTCACGTCGGTCTTGTATTAGCGTGTTCTGACCCGATCACAGGGCTGATGACTGACAGGACATCGAGAAGGTACGTTTCTAATTTTCAGGCTTTGTTTGGGATCATTTGTGGTCTGAGAGCAGAGATTTGGTGAAACACTGATGAGGTCTGATGGCGACTGAACCTGTTTTCATCTTTAAAACAAATGTTAAAAAAAAACAGAACCACAAATGTTTGATATTTTAAAATGACCCAGAGTCTAACTGAGAATAAATATCCCTGCTGATTGTATTTGTGCTGCGTCTAGTTCATCAATCCACCGATTAGCTTCTCCATCGATCAGTTATTTGGTGAACTTCACACCCTGAAACACAATCCATCACACAAGACAAAGAAAAGCTGCAAAAGCTCACATTTAAAACCTAAAACCAGCCAATGTTTGACACTTTAAAGCTGCTGAAATGATGAATTCATCATCAGAACAGCTGCAGATGAACGTTCTTGTATCCGGAGCTTCTGTCTGTCTGACCTGCAGCATTTGCTCTTCAGTCTTTTATCCTTCATTAAAACTTCCCTCTCATCTAATGTTGCATCAAACCTCATTCAAGAACCTGCTCAGCAATAAAACTGGTTCTACAGCAACCTGAACAGGTGTTCTGTTCAGCTGATGTGAGCCGGTCGACCAGGTGGACTCACCCTGGATGATCCTCCTGTCCTCCGGAGACAGAGTCCAGTACCAGCTGAGCAGCCGGGAGTCGGTCAGCGACAGGCACAGGTGAGCTTCCACCAGGTCGAACACCGACCTGAGAACAGACATGACCTCAGTCACAGGTCCAGGTAAACAGGTGGGATAGAGGATTTACCTGCTGCTGCAGCTCACCTGTCCAGGATGAACCTCCTGCTGTCCTCTGGTGGAGAAACAGTCACACGGAGTTTAGTTAGTCTGGTTAACTACTTAACATTCAGATCAAGTTTAGTTAGTCTGGTTAACTACTGAACATTCAGATCAAGTTTAGTTAGTCTGGTTAAC